TTCCTTGAGCTCGATTTCGTCCTTCCTAGTTAAATCGTGCTTTCAGAACAGTTTTTGGAATACCTCCGGATTGCGAAAGATACCCAAAATCTGCGATTTTCCACCACTGCCAGTCTTTAAGAGTGGCGTTTGTCTAGTGGTGCAGTATTTAGTCGTTTTTCTCACTTGCTTGTCAGTTTTGTGCGCGATGTATGGAATCCATGAGTTTTGAGGCACTGCTGAATAAGAGGTGGCTATGTCCAAGCTCATCCAGAGGAACTCCAGTGGGTCAAGCCTCATTGTGCCATCGTATGGAACTACATTTTGCGGGGGTAAAGGACAAAAGGACGTTCTTTGCAAGAAGCATGACAAACGCGGCAGTAGCCCCACCATTTGTCAATAACGAATGAAAACAGTAGCACAAACAAAAATGGCCCAGTGTTACTGCGTGTTGGTTGATTCTCGTTACGGATGGACTTCGGCAGTGAAGGATGGATACCCAAGGGTCTGCAAGTACCCATTTGGATCATTTTAGCCCAGATACGACGATTAGGTAAAAAAGATTGTGGTGACAGATCGCGCAAAACAAGCGAGACTAGGCTGTGGTAATTCTTATTAATTGTGAAGAAGGTTCAATCGATTGTTGTTGTTTGAATTCTGTAAAATCCACCGGTGGAAGTTTATAATGAAACGTTTGTATATTTGACTTTATTGCTGCCGTCATCTGTAAGGTTTTGCAGCCTTAGAGACAGACGGATTTACTTTGCAAGCGAATTTTGATTCAATAACTGCCTAAATGAATATCTTTATTCCGTTGCCCATTGATTACAGCGTTGACAACAAGTACGTTATCAGTTACAGCATCGTACAGTACAGTTACAGTAACAGTTGTCAGTATCATTATCAGCTAAATCAGTATTTTGATCACTTTTATTCACGTATTAATGTGGGGGACAATAATCAGACGTTTTCCGTTGAACCGTATTAGCTAACGGCATTTCCTTTTGCCGACGCTTTTCATCTGAAATTTTTTTTGCCAAACCGCTGATCATGTCTAAAAAATCTGGTTATTCTTTCACAAATCGAATATAATTTTCACATTAATTTGAAAAATTTTAGGAACCGTGGTTGGAGCGATAAATATTGAACGTCTTTTGGCGTTATGTTCGCAAACTGTCGATGGTCCAGAGGCACCTGTTAATGAACACACTATGTTTTCATCCCCTTTTATACCGCTCAGTGACCAGAATCAGCCGCGGCCGCCGCCACAGCCGAAATTCTCGGGTGTGCCGCTCATGTACAGAAGCCGCGACATCACCGGTTCATATAGCTTTGCGACACTACCCCCTCCGCCGCCGCCGCCGAACTTGATAGCGCCTCCTCCAATGTGGCCCCCAACGCAAGGCGTTTCCTCAGTTTCAGGCGCCTTCCCACCGGCCCCAGTACCGATTACTTCAGTGACGCCTGCGTTTCCGACCAGCTCCATATGCAATGGCCTTGGTTTTGATTCAGCACAGAGTTCTATCATCAAAGGCGAGCGGGGGTTTGCTAAATTCACAGGAGCCAGTGTTCCCCCAAGTGTCATTGCAACCGCCACCGTTTCTC